CCTCGCCCTCTCTCGAGCGCCGGCTGGGCCCGGCTCTTCTCCGGGGCAGAGACCCCCAGGGCTGGGGGGGGACACGGGCCTGGCTCCCCTGTCCTCTCTCCAGCGCCGGCTGGGCCCGGCTCTTCTCCCCTCCCTCCCCCAGCAGCCTTGGGGAGAGCACTGGGCCTGGGCCTGGCCAGCCTGAGGAAACGCTGCCATCAGCTCTCCCTGGGGTGGGGCAGGGCCTCGTACATGGCCCCTGCTGTGCTCTACCCTGAGTCCCCCTGTGGCTGGGGGAGTTGCTGCTGCTGGGTTTCCTGCTCCGCCTGCTTCCTTTGGGCCTGGCCTGTCTCAGCGGCCACGGGCCATGCAAAGAAATGATTTGTGGGCTTCTCTGCCTGCTGCTCGTCACTGGGCCTGCACTGCTCATGTTCGGTCCACTTGCTTCCCCTTAGTCCTCAGCTTTCCCGTGGGCCAGTCCAGCCTGGCTCCATCCCCCACAGCCACTTTCTACCTCACGAACCGCCTGCTTCCTTTGGGCCTGGCCTGTCTCAGCGGCCACGGGCCATGCAAAGAAATGATTTGTGGGCTTCTCTGCCTGCTGCTCGTCACTGGGCCTGCACTGCTCATGTTCGGTCCACTTGCTTCCCCTTAGTCCTCAGCTTTCCCGTGGGCCAGTCCAGCCTGGCTCCATCCCCCACAGCCACTTTCTACCTCACGAATTCCAGGGGGGCAATTGGATTTGCAGTAGGGGTGTGACTGGCTAACAGGTGGGGCCTGGGCAGCCTCTGTCCACTGGCCCCCCCAGGCATGGGGTGGAGGCGCACTCAAGATGTCTCACCCCATAGCCAATTCAACAGGATTTCACACCCCTAACTTGCAGGCCATAGTCACAGGGTGGGTGTCCCCGGGCTTAAGTAACTGGCTTTATGGGTCGGGTGGTCTGTCCCTTCTCGGGTGGGCCCCACAGACGCTGGTGACTGCGGGGGGCAGCTGCTGGAGAGCCCAGGCCGGTGCGGTCGGTGCGGGGTTATGGACCAGGGGCCTCGCTTTGCACTGGGCTTCACAGGCAGCTTGGGCCTTAAGGTTCCTGGAGGAATTTTGTATCCGCAGATGCTGCCACCCCCCAGCAAAGCCCTTTTCCCAGCTCCCTGAGGGCGGCTGCACAGCCCTGGTCCCGGGACAGAGCCGGGTCTGACCCGGCTGGGACCAGGGCTCGCTTATTCCTAGCAGCTGGTCCAATTGTTTCCTCTTACCCCTTTGCAGCTTTGCTTCAGAGCAGGGGTGGGATTGCTGTGGGCCTGTCCTACCCCAGCCTGGCCGGCAGCTGCCCCCAGTGGCTGGGAAGCGCAGCCCATGGGAGTGGGGGCAGTGCTTCTCTACCGAGTGCAGGACCCCTGCAGTGGTCCCCCAGGAGCTGCACCAGGTAGGTGCCCCCCACCCCCTGCTATACCCCACCACCTGCCTGCACCCACAGCTCTTCCGGCCAGCCTGCTCCCGCACGCTGCCCCTCTCCGGGCACCCAGAGGAGTTATTCCAGCCCTAGGGAGCCGCCGCGCCTCCCCTGCCCCTGGCCTGGAGCATGGCGGTGGGTGTCGTCTTTTCCTGCTTCTCAGATGGGGGGCACATCTGAGAGGCAGGTTCTTTCTTCTGCTTGGGGGCCAGGGGTGCATTGGTGGGTTTGGGTCAGTGGCCCCCAACCCAAAAACAAGGGTCTCCACCCCTGCTGAAGCACATCTGGGGAGGGACCCTTTGGAAAGGCCACAGACAGAACGTTCTGCCCACTGGCTCCCCCCTGGCCCCGGGCGCGCTGCCCCCTTGGAGCGTCCGGCCGGGGGGCAAGTGCCATTTCCCCGGGCAGGCCTTGCTCGTTCCCATCTGTGTGTCTGACGACTCTGCCTTG